GCACATAACATATAAAAACCACTGACATTAACCACTGCAAAGCAGCCAAGGAGGGCTGAAGCCCTGTAAAAATGTGTCAGCATTTTTTTCTGGAATGGCCAAAGGATTCTATTATGGAAAAGGCTGAGATCTACAGTAGAGTGTCAGAGATTACATTCCTATCTAGCTTCCCATATGCTGCTCTCACACTAACCAGATGTCATAGTTTTTGCACTTAACCAAGAGGGAAATCATCCTATCACTCCAAGCTCTAGTGGAAGGCTTGGGTTGAGGAAATCCACAAGGATATAAACACATATGCTGTTCTAGCCTCTGCCTACAAACCCACTTTGCAGGATGGCAACAATCTATGCCTGCCCTGATACCACCCTTCCCTATTATTTAAAACTCTATTATGTGGTGGCACCTTTGGAGTCAACTGAGTGGGATTTACATGATCAAAATTTTGGATTTAGGATGCCTAATGTCTTTTTTGAATTTGGATGCTAGTGATTTAGGAGCCCAAGTCTTATTTTCACAAGTAGCTTAAGTATTTCAGAGACTAAGTTCTAAAGACATTAAATGAGACTTCAGCTTCCAAATACCCAAGTTATTTTTGCAAATGAGACCTGGGCTTTACAATGCTGAGTGGAACAACGATTAAATATTTTTAACCAACTGGGCCCCAACCATTATTCAGGTAAAACATCCTTTTATTTTACAGTTTTGCCTAAAAAACACAGACTTGAGGATCTGGCCAGCTATATAATAATAATAATTTGTGCAGTCCAGTTCACACTATCATTCTCTTCTGTAGTATCAGTGCTGTCCATGGAACTTTATATACAAATGAAGACATGTCCCTCTTTCCATATAGCTTGCAATCTAATTTATACAAGACATAGCACATCAAGAGACAGCAAACAAAGGAGTAGCGGAGGAAAAGGATTTAGTGTGGCTAAAGCCTACAGCTATAAATTATTCGAATCATTTTTATATAGGAGATAAGTAACTTAGCGCCACTAATGCCATTGGCACTGCCGCTAACGTTGACATTGGTAAGGAACTTAATGTTATGGTTTGTCAATGGCTTACGATGGTTAATTTTTTTCCCCTCCCTCTTCATCACTTGTCAAACAGAAAGTCTGGTATCTGATCTGCCTTGCATTAAATTTATGATGGACAAGACATCAAGAAAGGAAAGATAAATGGGACAGGAAAATACCTTCAAACTGTGCTGATCCTCTAATATTGGCTAATTATAATCACTAATAATGCACAGAAGCTTGTAATAAGCTTACAGAAAAAGATTTCAAGGGGACACAGTCAGGTTAAAAATTGTGCTTAAAAACACATTTCTATAATATTTCCAGGTTAAAATGGAAAGAATTTTGAATATCTAATTAATTTTGCACCACTTTTCTGCCACCGATTCACCTTCTGCATTCCAGGCATCTTAGACAATAAAAATAAGCTAATCAATGTTTAATTGGTTCAAAGTCTAGTTCAACTTCCTTTTCTAATGCATGAATAAATGGTACAACATTGTGACTGCATACATTAGAGAGTAATGTTTAAATCTAGAACAATTATAAGCCTGGTTAAAACTATAGAAAGGAAACACTTTATAGAAATATTGTGAGAAAAGGAGGTTTTTTTTTTTTGTTTTTTTTTAATAACTTCTAGACTGTATGGTGATGAGAACTCAAGAAACATATGGCTACAGATAGGTTGCTCACTCCATTTTTCTCTCAGCTTTATACTTACCCACTGGCTGGGGCAGATCCAGAAGGGGTGCAGTGGTACAGGCACACACCCCTTCCTGACCATGAAGCAGAAGCAGTAGCTGTGGACTTCAAGTCCCTGAAGAAGGTAAAAATTCCTCCTCTTTGTTTCCCCCCAGGCTCAGAGGCACATCCTTTCCCTTCCCCTCCCCATCACCCATCCTCTGCCCAATGCTGCTGCTGCTGCATCCCCAGTGTCCTAAGGGCAAGAAGAGCTCCACCCTGCTCCAGCCAGACTGTATTGGGGCTGGGCTCAGCCAAGGCCAGTGGACGGGCAGCTTCTCCCTCCCTGCCTGGTCCCCCATGGGTATTTTCTGCTAGCCCAGGAGCAGGTGTGGGGAGGGGAAACCCTCATAGTTTCATAGTTTTAGGGTCGGAAGGGACCTAATAGATCTTCTAGCCCGACCCCCTGCCAGGGCGGGAGAACAACAAAAAACCCTAAAAACAAAAACGGGACTCAAATGAGTCCAGCCAGGTAGGCATCCAGCCTCTTCTTAAAGACCCCCAGGGTAGGGGCCAGCACCACCTCCCTTGGAAGTTGGTTCCAGCTCCTAGCCGCCCTAACTGTGAAGTAGTTTTTTCGGATGTCCAATCTGTACCTCCTCTCCATCAACTTGTGCCCATTACTCCTTGTTAAGCCAGCGGGGGCTAGGGGAAACAGCGTCTCCCCCAAACCCTTCTGGTTCCCCCTAGTGAGTTTATAGACGGTCACCAGGTCCCCCCTCAGCCTTCTCTTGTGGAGGCTGAATAGGTTCAGGTCCCGCAGTCTCTCACTGTAGGGTCTGCCCTGTTGTCCCCGGATCATGCGGGTGGCCCTCCTCTGGACCCTCTCCATGTTGTCCACATCCCTCCTGAAATGGGGCGCACAGAACTGGACACAATACTCCAGCTGCGGCCTGACCAGCGTCGCATAGAGGGGGAGGATCACCTCCCTGGCTCTACTCGAGATGCACCTGTGGATGCACGACAAGGTCCGGTTAGCCCTGCCAACCATGACCTCGCATTGTCGGCCCATGTTCATCTTGGAGTCAATAATGACACCAAGATCCCTTTCCGCCTCCGTGCTCTCAAGTAGGGAGTTCCCCATCGTATAAGTGTGCTGCTGGTTCCTACTACCCAAGTGCAGCACCCTGCACTTGTCCGTATTGAAACACATCCTGTTCCTGTTTGCCCACCCCTGTAACCTATCCAGATCCTTCTGCAATCTCTCTCTCCCTGCTAGCGTGCTCACCTCCCCCCAAATTTTGGTGTCATCAGCGAATTTAAACAGGTTGCTTTCCACCCCAGCATCAAGATCGCTGATGAAGAAATTGAACAGTGCAGGCCCCAGGACCGAGCCCTGGGGGACTCCACTACCCACCTCCTCCCAAGTCGAGTATGATCCATCCACCACCACCCTCTGAGTGCGACCCTTCAGCCAATCTGCAATCCATCTGACTGTGTAGGCATCTATGCCACAGTCGCCCTCCTGCCCACTGCCACTGCTGCTGTGGCTAGACTGAGCCCAGCTGGAGCAGGACAAGAGTTTCCCTCACCCTTGGAACAGCAGGGACACCGCAGCAGTGGCAGGTTGGATGCAGGGGGCATTCTTACCTGCTTTGAGGACTTTAAGTAATTCCCTGACTACTGCTCCCCTGGTGCAGTCTGCCTGTCCCAGGGGGCAGATCTGGGAAGAAGGCTGGGAGCAGAGATGGTTGTACCTCCCACAGCATTGGTAGCTGCTCTTGCACCCTCCCTTGTAAAATCCTGTATCTGCTTTGGTGATTGCTTTAATATGTGATCTGTCAAGACAGACAAGTGGGAAAATAAAGGAAAAGCTAAAAACTGAAAACACAGAGTGGGAGGGAGAGAAGAACACAGTTAGCAGAACTGAGTGGGGGCCAGAGGAACTGAAATGGTAGCAAACAGCAAATGACATAAGGGCTAGGGACAGAAGTTACACATAACCCGGTTTAAGTCATCAGAAACTGGTTTAAACCTGCAATAGAACAGAAGCTCAATGCACATAAACCAACTTCAAAATGTAGGAAACTAGTTAAAGATAAACCTGGTTGAATGCAGTATCAGACTTAACTGATTTGGGTCAAACCAGTTTATGAAACTTCTGTCCCAGACCCCTTCCTGGTTCAAGTTAAGTCACAGTCCCCCAGCATCCCAGCATGTTTTCCAGCCCTGGGCTGAGCTGTGCTGCCTGCTCCAGAGAGCAGCACTGGTCTCCCAGCTGGAGCAGTAATGGCTCACTGACCAAGGGGGCGAGGGGACAAGCCCAGCTAGGGATGCAGCTCAGTCTACAAGGGGGGACTACCCCTCCCCCCCCACCCCAGGGCAAACCCCAGCTGGGATCTGGGGCCAGGGAGGGGGGGAAAAATCAAACACCCTTTCCCCTGCTCAAACTTACTGCTGGCTGCAACTGTGGGCTACAAATCCCAGAGGAACCTGGAAGCAGGAAGAAGAAGTGATGAACAACCCCGCAGAGTCCTGCTGCTGTAATTCTGGACTGCAAATCCCAGGACCTCAGGGGCAGCAGGAAGAGGAAGTGAGCACACAGACAGAGAACCATGCTTTAGTGCTCCCTGGCCTCTGGCCTGAGTCACTGCAGGTATGTGGCTGCATTTTCTGAATCAAAAGCAAATGTCTGTTCATTTCTGTTTCAATTTAATCTGTGCATTTTAGATTAACCTGCAAAGACTGAATTGTTTCAGCCTTGGGCTTTTTGTCTGTCTGTACCTAGCCAAGGGCTTCAGCCTGTGCCTGTTGAATAAAGTAGGAATTTGAATGATGGCCCCATTTCCATGTTACTCCTCTTTGGCCATGTAGCACAGAAAATGCATACATGGGCAGAAACATTACATGGCTTTTTACACTGTACAGTAACTGAGAACAGTAAGAATTCTATATATTTTGACTAAATGTGGGATTATTCCATGAGCTGAATGACAATGCCTGACAGGGACTACTGAGTGCTGTAACGTAGCCTCTTCTGCCTCCAACGCTTGTTACTGGCAGGCATCTTCCCCAGAGGAAGAAACAAAGTCTTGTTGGCTGGAAGTGTGCACCATCCAGAGAACTCCTAATTCCCAGATGGGGAGTGGCTTTCTAATCCCTTTGCACCACAGAATCAGAGTTATTGCTCCACAATTTGGACTAGACTTCAATAGAAGCAGGAGCTTCTATTTTCCATCTATTAGGAATGGACCAACTTAGTGGAGATGCACATATTTCAAAACTCACAGACTATTTTGGGGGTTTGCAAAGCTAGTTCAATTTAATTTTTATTTAAAAGAGCTTTCTGTAATGTAAATGACTACAACCAAATTTGTGTCTGGAATAATTCCAATCAAGCTCATGAAGTTACATAGAGTAGAACAGAAGCAATAGTTTTTTTATTTTTCCCATAATGACTCAAGGGGTTGGGGGTTGTTTTATTTTGGGTTAGTTGTTTGTTTTTTTTTAAGTCAGGAACATGTTATTTTTTAGTTAAAGATAAATTAATGCCATGTACTTGGGGTAGAAGTCTGATCCATTTCCGTCTTCTCCAGCCTCCAAGCCAGCTAGGCACAAATCTCTGTTCCAAACACTGCATTGATTTTTCTTTAGCATGTTTGTTATGCTTTTTGTTTCAGTGTCTTTCTTAAGCAGAAGAGAAACCCACTGCAATCCCAGCTGTAATTCTGAACCTATGTTTGAATGGTGTTGAAAATAAGAATAAGAAGATTAGTTGCAACTGAGGTATGCACAATTAAAGGCTGTAAATCCCTTTTGAGATTTTAATGACATGAACAAGCCACTCACATTTCACTATTACTTGTCATCAGATCCTTTGATAAAATAAACCTTTGTTATACACAATTAGGGAACCATTATTAGAGGTGAGCAAATAGAAGAAGATATTTTTCTCTAATAAGAGAAAAAACAGTGCTTTTCATTTTCTCTCAAAGTTGAAAATGACTCTTATGTTTGCCTTCCATAAACATTCAGAAACACAAACTTCATTCTCACAAGCACTCAGGTATACACCTGGACAGGGAATGAATTGCCTGCCCCATAAACAGTTTCCAAAACTTTTCCTGGTGGCTCTGGCTGGGAAGAAGCTCAGAGAGGGAGGCTGGTGGGGCTATTTGACAAAAGGCAATGGAAGCAGATTCGGAAAAGTACAGTGTTGATATAGAGGGCTACATGTTTGAGGTCACATGCCCATAAACAAGGAAGGGTTCCCTTTGACTCTTAAGTTAAATCCGAGTCCCCCAGTATCCCAGCATACTCTGCAGTTCTCGGCTGAGCTGTCTGCTCCAGTGGAGGAGGCCTGGCCCTGCCCCTCTGCTCCCCAGTGGAGGATAGGGGCAGAGACATGACCAAGCACTGCACCCCCTAAGGCAAAGGGGGCAGGGAAGAGGTTTATTCCTCCCACCCTCCCCCCTGTCCCACCAGCACGGACCTCAGCCAGGGTCTGCCAGGCAGGGGTGTAGCAGCCCATCAGGCATTTTGCCCCACTCACCACTCAAGCAGTAGGGGGTGTGGCCAGCCCTGGCAGCAGCCTCAAGCAAACAGGGGATAGAGAGGGGTTTAATTCCTCCTTCCTTCCCCTGTCCAACCTGAGCCAGGGTCTGCCTGGCAGGGTCCCTCTGCTCCTCGCTGCTACAGCAGCAGGGGTGTGAGCATGGCCAGATGCCATGGCACTCTGGGATGAAGGGGGAAGGTAGGGGGTTATTCCCCTCTCTGTTCCATCTCCCCCAGGGGACCCCAGTCAGGGTCTGCTAGCTGCTGCTTGCCACCAGCCAGGCAGATCCTGCCTGGGGTTCCCTGGGGGAAGAGGAGAGGGAGGGAAGGAGAAACCCCCTCCCTGACCACTTTGCCTCAGGGGGCCATGCCCGATGTTATCTGGCCATGCCCCTGCCCGATGAAGAGGGAGGGACCCTGACAGGGCAGCAGTCCCTGTCATGGTGTCCTGGGGATGCAAGCCTCTTCCTGGTGGGGTGGGGCTACACTGCAGGTGGGAGGGAGGTGGGCACATCCTGCACTGGGCAAGTGGCGGCAGTGGGACTCAGAGGTGTGGCTGTGGAAACTAAGCTGAATTTTGGGGTGGCTATAGTCCCCCAAGATGCCCCTAGTGCTGCCACTTGCCCTGGGCATACTGCGGCAGCTCTGCCTGCCCCGCTCCCACCCACAACGCAACCCCCCACTGGGAAGGGGCTTGTACTCCCTGGGACACCATGACAGAGGCTGCTGCCCCATCAGAGTCCCTCTCCCATCACCTGTCCAGCAGCGGGTGCATGGCCAGATGCTGGCTGGCATAGCCCTTTAAGGCAAAGGGGGCAGGGAGGGGGCTTAGTCCCCTCTCCCCCCACAGAACCCCAGCCAGGGTCTGCCTGGCTGGGGGTGAGCAGCAGAGGCAGCAGCTGGGGCTGGCAGACCCCAGCTGGGGTCCCCCCAGGGGAGAGGGAACAGAGGGGGAAATAAACACCCTCCCTGCCTCAGGGAGCTATGCTGGGCCAGCATCGGGCCATGCCCCTGCTGCAGCAGTAAAGGCGGGGGGGACCCTGACATGGGCTGCTGTGCAGACCACGGCTGGGGTCTGCTGCCAGTGGGACAGAGGAAGGAGCAGGGAATTACGACCCCCCCCCTGTCCCCCATCTGCTTGAGGCTACTGCTGGGGCTGGCCACAGCCCCCACCGCTCCAGCAGCGAGGGTAGGAAATGCCTGGCAGGGGCTACTTCCACCTTCCTCCCTCCTCACAGACCCCAACTGGGGACTGTGCAGACCAGAGTGGGAGTTTAAGTCCCTCACTAATCACTCTCATCCTGCAGGGGCCTGGCCATGACCCTCCTGCTCAGTTTTCCTCTAGCCCAGCCCTTGCTCTAGCACCACCCAGCTTCTGGCCTTAGTCACTGCAGGTGTGTGCCAGCATTTCCAGCATCAAAAGTGAATGTCTGTTCATTTGCTTGCCAGTTCAATCTACGCAGGGTAGACTAATCTGCAAACAGTGAATTGATTCGGGCTTGGGCTTTTTGAATGTCTGTACTTAGCCATGAAGTAGAGATCTCTGAGGGACAGAGATGTAACTGAATGTAAAGTGAAATTCTGGTATCACTGAGAGGTCATATTAGCATTGCAGGCAACCAGAGAAGGGTCTTTGACAAGAATATTATCAAGGAAATAATGAATTCCACTAAGACCAATGGAGAGGAGCTTTAGAAACGAATGGGGCACAAAGAGTTCTAACACACACCTTCTGAAGTGAAGTCAACCTACAATTCCAGAACCTGTATGCCTGGAGATGTGATATCTTTTATTAGACTAACTAAATAGTTGAAAAAAATTGTTCTTTGCAAGCTTTTGAGCACAAATGCCCTTCTTTAGGCACAGAGAAAGTCAGAGAGAGGAATCTACTACAGCTGTAACAGAGATCTAACTTACTGCATGTTATGGCTGCATTAATTATATACACATTGTATAGATAACTTAGACCTAACCAACGCAGGGTGCATGTAGAAATTCAAATACAGAACAACTTCCTTGGACTCTTCATGTGTCATTCACTTACAGGAGAAGACAATTGGTAAATGGCTTCAAATAATTAATGCATCTGAGGACTTTGTAACCTGCCTCTTATTGACTTGTTAGAAAGAAATGAAAATCTGAAAAAAGTTAATTGTTCTGGATGCTTCACTGCATGAACCCAGTTGGCTTCAGGTACACCAGGTAGAAGATACTTTCACAGAAAAATTCAGAGTCCTTATCCTGTTTGGAACACTCTCACCTACCATTCCTGTACTATGGTACTTGAGGGACAATAGACGTTCCTCACCCCTTTCTTCTGCAGTATTCAGAGATCTCTCTTGAAAGATGTGATGGGACTTGAGCACTACATATGCCCTGGAGTACAGATCCTGTTTCCTTGGAACTTTCCCAGTGTTCTGAGCCATTTCATAAAAAAGACTTCTGCAAAAATGAGGGTGGTGTTCGATACAGCAGCTTTTGTCAAAGGCTCTCCACCAGCGCTACAGCATGAAAGTTTTTTTTATGTGCTCTGGCCTGCCACACATTTGACAAACTTTGCATTTACCTACTTTCTCCCTTGCCTCCTTTCAGTGATTCCAGTCTGATCATACAACTTGACAAAAAGAAACCAATCAAGTCCACCTACCTAATGGAAGAAAATGTCATCATTCAACTTATGATAAATGTATGAAAATTAACAATGTTCAGGATGGATCCAATGCTTTGGAGAGAGAAAAATAAGTCTCTGACATCTCATGGACTGAATACCCTCATACAAATCACCCAAGTCACCATTTGGGATTGACTGTAGAAGCAGGAAGCAGAAGTTGCCTGCAATGCCTTATTAAAATCCATACATCTGTAGCATAAACAGGTTAATGGTGATTGCATTTGGAAAAAGCTAACTAAACATTTTAACGACATTACTAACTCTTAAACAATTCATCTGGGGCTGGGAGATACTAAATTCTCCTGAAGATAATAGAGCTAAATTTCATTCATATAATCACTTGGAAGTGCTTGCATTTCAGAATATACACTGTTTTGTCATGTCATGTCCAGATCACTGACTGCAATACCACTCCCTTAAGCCTGCCATAAAATTAACTTTACGTGGCTGCATAGAGACATACACTTCACTGACATAAGGGATGTGGACTTTTAAACTTCTGGCTCCTGCTGCTATTTCAGATTTGTGTTCGTGGGGTGGTAAAAGCAGGGCTACACGAGCAGAGGACTGTACAGTCTGCAACTGTAAATATAAATCAGAAGCCCCCTCCTTTGCCTAAACAGCTGGCCAAAAGCTGGAGCCTTGCAGCACTGTTTCCATTCAGATAACAAATTCGTTATGAAGCAGGTTCATCACTGGTGTAATCTTGTTTGCTTACAACAATGTACACAAAGCTCTACTTCCCTGAATGGTGGGAACAAAAAAAGAAAGCCACATGCAGCAGCAGTTTCCTTGGTCAGTTCCCCGACCTCTGCTGTCCGTTTCTTCAGCTTTTCTGCTTCCTAAACATACAGCCTGCAGCTGTGGAGCTGACCTGATACATAGCCTATTGCCTTTGAAGATGCCCCAGCTTCCAGCTATTTTCACTCCATAAAAAGGGTTGCTTGCTTTTTCTCTGGAGCACTGAAAACGTACTTAGCACACCCATTGGCTTTAATGAGGCCTATGATTATCTTTGGATCAAAGATCAGGTCTGTACCACAGACGCTTGCCTATATACAATCAGTGAGGAGTGCGAGTTCTTGCGTTATTTCTGCTTTGGCAAAAAGGCTGGTACACAGTTATCCAATAAAAGACACTGATTCATGGGTAGAGCTTATTTTCCCCTCAGGAAACCACTAGTGACATGAGCAAAGCATCCTTTCTTACTGGTGTAAATGAATCCACACTAGAGAGAGTTTGCTTGTGCAGTTTTTCCAGAATGCCCGGGCAACTTTAATTTGGCCACTGTACACTGTCCATGGGCCAAATCCAGTCTCTGACCCAGGTCATCCACCCTGTGGATTTTGCCCTGGGTCTGGTGGCAATGGTAGGGCTTTGCACAGTGGCAGCCAGCACCCCAAGGAGAGCAGCCCTGAGCAACACCATGGGCAGAAACCCTCTAACAGTGGCCAGAGACTGGGTAAGAGACCCAGCTCAGCAGGCTGTGGCCACAGCCAGGAAGCTTGT